TTTTTGTCCAGCTTTAACATCGGTATCGATATCGGTTATCGGCTACATGAGTTTTAAAATATCGGCATATCGGATATCGGCCAAAATCCCAACATCGTGCATCCCTACACAGAATCATTATCCATGAATCTCTAATTATCTGACAGGTTCCACAGACTTTGGGAACGTATCCTTCTTAGTGCCTGGGATCCATCCCTTCTTCTACATTGGCACGGATGCATTAAACCACACAGAGGAATACGCTAAAGCAGCAGGTAGAGAGAGGTTTCTTGAAATAAAAAAAAAGCAAAGATCTGCCATCATCTCCCTCCAAGTCGTGAGGGTTGCTGATTTCTATTTATAGTTATTTTTTCCTTCTCTACTTCTCCTTCTTGCGTCAGGAGCTGAGGTGGCCCAGTTGCACACCCTGAGGGCAGCCAAGGCCCTGGCAATGACAGCTGTGGATGTGATGTGCTGCCCAGATCTCTTGCAGCAAGCGAGAGAGGACTTCAGGCTGGCCAAACTGAGAGCAGAGGACAGACACGCGAATCCGGAACAAACATAAACCATCAGAACTTGACTAAAGTTAGAAGGTCATATCTGCTCAGTTTAAATTAGAGAGTACTTGCTGAAAAAACTGGTGCTTTGTAAAGTATGTACACTGTATGTATTTTTTATGCTCAGCACTTTTAACACAAGTGATGTAAACGGGTGAAGTAAAAACAGCCTATCAAAGTGCGTCTTTCCAGAAAAGTTAAAAAACAATCCAGTGGACTTTCCTTCCAAGTTTTAAGGCGTTTCGCTTCTCATTCAGGAACGCTTTTCAATTCAAAATGTCAGAAATAGCGTTGAGTTCGAGGCTTTATAGAGACAGAAAACAAAGCCTTGTTTTGGCTTAGAAAACATGCAAACTAAAGTGGGAAAGGGAATTTGATATTCTAATAACCGACGAAGGCTGGCTGAATATTTGGAAGACCCAAACTACAACATCCTCTTCCAGAATCTGGAGAGAACATTGTTGGAAGAATATAATCAGATTTTATATAACACCCAAAATTACTAGTAAATTCAAATCTAGAGCTCAGCCATGCTGGAGAGATTGTGGAGCATTTAATGTTAATCACGCGCATATTTTCTGGCTCTGCCGTAAAATTACTTAGCCTGACGTAGTCCTACTTAATTCTAGTCAGAATGAGTCTGATGCTGCTCCATAGAGCTGTGATTATGGGGCGTGTTT